AATGTCTTCCCAGAGATGAGGAGACCTTGCTGGGGCCAAGGGTGATGTCTTAGAGCAGAAAACGAAACAATGGGAGAATTCTGCAGCCCACCTACTTTCCCTAGAACATGGGATAGAAGCAATGTGAGAAGATGAAAGCCCTGATACATAGTGGGAAAGACTATTGGTCATAGGTCCATTTCAAATCATATACACTAGCAACTAGGTCAACAAATCTTCCTATCGTAATTTCATCTTAATTTCCAAAGGCTGCCATAATATTAAAAACATTCGTTTACACCATTATGTTAAAATATGTGTATTTTGTCTCAGCATCATACAAACCATACGTCCTTCCCTCTTCCTCCACTATCAAATAGTTAATGATTTAACAAAATAATATCATATATGTGGAAATCATTTAACCATATAAACACATACTCCAACTGTATTGTGTTTGTGGGTCTATATTTCAATTCAGTGGATACTTTAAATGAGTACAGTTTTAAATTATATGGTAAGAAGGGGATTAGGATTTCTTAAATGTATTCATTCCTGCTGTATTCCTAGCACAACTATTTTCTTTTTTCCGGTCACTAGCTAGTATTTGCTCACATACATCGTTTGTTCCTACTTATAATCAGAACATGCAATTTTATATACAGCTTTCTTTATCATTCTCTATATTGCAACTTAATGGAGTTAATCTAGCAACATTTTTTTAGAATCTCCCCTGTTGGATACACAAGTGGTTTCCATTATTCACCATAATGAATAAGGCTGCAATGAACATTTTCTTAAGTATGCCATTTTCTAATTTTGAATTATTCCCTTGGGATAATTTGTAAGATTTATAGTCCAAAGACATGAATATATTTAGGGACTCTTAATATAGATATGGATCAGATTGGGGAGTCCATGGGCTGTATATGCCTATAGTACCACTAGAAATATGTGAATTTATCATTTGTTTTCCCAGTAGCCTCATCTGGATTTATATTTTCTTGGTTATAATTTAGTTAACGTAATATGTGTCGCTTTTTAAATTTATTTGTATTTCTTTAACTGCCATTCAGATTTTGAAAGTTTACATATTGCTTTGCATACGCCTTACTATTAGTGAAGCTTAATCAGGGAAATCACTGAAGTAGAATTCAATCATGGGTTCAAGTTCCAACTCTGAATTAGTCTCTCAAAGAAATCATTTCTTCAGGTATGACTTAGTGATAATGATGCCTGCTTCACAAAGTTGTTGAAATGGTTTGATGAATTAATCCGTGTCTCATGAGTTAGCAGCACACAGGGATTTATTACCTCTTTCTCGTTCTCTGCCTCTCTCATCTCATCTACCAACCCTCCTGCCCTTGACTACTTCTCATGTGGAATATCCATTCAAGCTATCTTGGTACACAGTTTTATAGTATCTGTTTTGTCCTTAAAGAGTTTATATCCATGGGAGCTCTTTGTCGGCGTTCTCTGGAGAACTGACCTCTGACTCGCCAGCAAGTGCTGAGTTATACTGCAAATCCCTGAGGTCAGATCTGTTGGACCTTGTGTGAACCAACTGAGTGTTCATACAAACAAATGGGTAATACACTCAACATAAATGTCTTTCCGTAAATTACTCATTTTAGGATTCTGCGTAAGGTCCAATTTCTACTGAAATATCTCTTCTCCAAGTTTCCTTTTACATTAGGCTTCTCAGAGATATTTTGATTTGCTTATTTTCCTCTTTGTGCTGGCCTTGGGTAATACTTTAGCTTCATCTTCCATCTATTGTGTCCCGCCTGAGAACAAGCATACTTCTCCTGGTAACAAGTGCAGTCAATCACTTGTTGTTTACACTTGGTGTAAAACCAGACAACTGCTAGACATTGCATTCTAGATGATACTGTCATCTGGACTTTGTCTGTCTTACATCTAGTGTGTTTTCCTGGCATTATTGCCAATCGGTTGCCTAGAATTGCTTTCTATCTTGAGGACCTTTGTAGCAGGAGCTGCCTTTTCAAACAATCATTCTCCCTTAAAGCAAGAATAATTCCCAATACTTCATAAGGTGTGAGAAAGCCTGTTAACAAGCATATGGTTTCTCAGTTGGAAAAGCATCGAAATTGTAAATTTCTATCCTTTTCCATGAGGGCCAGGCCGTGTGGGGTCTACCAGAAGATCTTCTGATCTCTCACCTTCACGACAAGAAATTGAACTAAGATGTATTCTAAGCAGTTCCAATTTGGGTTTTTAAAAAGAGCAAAAGGGGAGGAGGAAGAAGAAGGAAAAAATGTTCTTTACAGTCTTTTCCAGCCTCAGCGACTGTATTTCTCATCCTCTGGAGAACGGCTCCTTTTGACTTTTTATTTCTTACATAAGCCTTCTCTTTATGTGTCACAGGCAAGACTTCTTCAGTTTTGCATTGCTAAACCTGCTTTCCCCCAACTCCGTGCCCACTCTCCCCATTTTTAGATGTTACACATGAGTGCTGGCCTCTTTTCCTATCTGAGTAGACGCAACAGTTCTACCTTCTTACCCACATCAAAGCCCTTCATCCACACATTGCACCAGCAAATATTCAAGTACTGAAGATTTCCACCAAGCCTGGGAGAGGCCCCTGTGTAATAGTTAAATCCTCAGAGGGAATTCGAGGGTCAGAGCTGGGTTTAGACAGAATGACCAGTTTTTCCAATGTTGGTGAGCCGTCCACCACGGCCACCGTGCCTACAATATGCCTGCACAGAGACATCTTGCATTGAAAATATCCAAAGTCACAAGGTGAAAAAAAAGTGCACTTATAATCACAATCTTGTCTTTCTGCCCACCTTTGCATTCGTGAAGCTGGGAATAGAAAGGGTGATGTTAGAAATGGTATAGTTGTGCCCAGAGCCCAACTTGCACACAGCAAGAAAGACATTGACATGAAATAGGACAGTGACTGTAATGGCCACACCACGTTCATCACTGTATCACACACACTTCTTCATGAGCCCTGGCATCCTGAGCCCCTCCCTGTGGCCGAAGGAGGACTGACCCCAGCTTAACCCTCATTCTGCATGACTCACTTTGTGGTTTGGGCAAGCCCCCTTCACCACAGTTTCCCCTAACACACAATGCAGGTAAGGTCACACTGTCCTGCAGAGAGTTCATGAAGCCAGAATGAGATAATGCATACACAGGATTTTGGAACAGGGTTCAAATTCTTTACAGTTACCAGGGTAGGTGTTTTTGTTAGCACTGTTAGGCTGATTTACAGTAATTTACATCTGTAAAAAGATGTTCTGCCACTTGTTTGTGTATGTTCTACTTTCCTCACCCTATTGTATGCCGATTAAGGCGGCTTTCAGAACATGCCATTCTCCCTCACAGCTTCCTGCGTTTGAATATGCTGCTTGAATATCCTTCTCCCCGCCTCCACCCCCATGTCCCTTTGTCTGTCTGCCCCGTTCCTACTCAGCATTCAAGACTCAGCTTAAAGACCTCCTGCCTGGTGATGCCCACCTCTGTACCCCCTCTGTACCATAGTCGGGCAATTACTTGCCTGCATTGGGATGATCTGCATCCAGTGTGGTCTCTTCCATTTGACTGGACTCAGGCGTGTCAAAGACAGGACCAAATCTTATTCAGTTTTCAACCCAATATCTGGTTCATGTTATTCACTCAATAAATGTTGATCAAAACGATGAGTGAATGTCAAATACTTGTTGCCATGAAATCAATTGTGTTACTCAGATGTGGGGCGCCTGGGTGGCTCAGTCCGTTGGGCATCTGACTTCGGCACAGGTCATGATCTCACGGTTCATGGGTTTGAGCCCCGCATCAGGCTCCGTGCTGACAGCTAGCTCAGAACCTGGCGCCTGCCTCTGATTCTGTTTCTCCCTCTCTGACTCTCCCCTGTTCACGCTCTCTGTCTCAGAAATAAATAAAACATTTAAAAAAATTTTTTAATCAGGTGAGTGACTCTTTGCTATAAATTTATGAAGGAAACTCATCACTCACCTTTCTATAAGTGGTACACACACACACACACACACACACACACACACACACGCATTATGTGTACATATTAAAGGGGAAAGCTAATAAAATACTCCCGGGGCACTTGGGTGGCTCACTCGGTTAAGCATCCAACTCTTGATTCCAGCTCATGTCATGATCTCATAGTTCAAGAGTTCTAGCCCCACATGGTGCTCCATGTGGTGGAGCCTGCATGGGATTCTCTCTGCCTCTCTCTCTACCCCTTTCCTGCTCATGCGTTCTCTCTCTCTCTCTCTCTCTCTCTTTCTCTCTTTCTCTCTCTCTCCCTCCTTCTCCCCCATCCCTCTCTCAAAAAATTTAAAAAAAACTTCAAACAATACTCCCAATTATTGGAAGTTTCACACTGAGGACATGTGACCATGTGACAGAGACCATAAGATGTGATATTTGTGTGGAGAGACAAGTTATACAAGCTCATTGTTTCCTCAGTCACTGCCATGAGTCACTCATTCAGCAAGATGTATTACAGAAGAAAAGGGTTTCTTGATGAACATTTGGAAAATTCTGAGATAAATCTCTATTCATAAAATGTATCATTTAATTAAAATGTCATCTCTGGAGGAGTAGGAGAAGGGTGGTCAAAAGGTAACAACCTCCCAGTTACGAGATAAAAAATACTAGGGATCTAATGTACAGCATGATGACTGTGGATAATATTGCCATAAGATGTATATGAACATAGTTAATAAATTCTAAGAATTCTCATCACAAGGAGAAAGAAACTGTTTTTCTTTTCTGCTTTGTTTTTATTGTATCTGCATGAGATGATGGATGCTAACTACATTTTAATAGCAATAATGATTTCACAATATATGTAAATTAAATTTGCTATGCTGTACACCTCAAACTTACACAGTGATATATGTCAATTATATCTCAATAGAACTGGAAACAAATAAAATGCCATCTCACAATTTTGCTTTCTGGGTATCGCACATCATCTTTTATTTTGGTTTAGATTAATTTCCCCCTCCTTTATTTTGTTCAATTTTCAGCTTTCACGGTAACATGGCACCTGTTTTCTTTCTACAAGAGAAACTCAGCACACAGCAGCATCCTTGATAAATTGGTTTGATGATCCTACTTGGAATAGGTATGTAAAACTTCAATATTTTCTTACCAGTTGTTTTGAATCCTTTTTATGATTCAACAGAAATCATTCCTGTTGTTCTTATTGCTCACTGAGAATGGAATTTGTTCTGAGGAGTAAAATTTATGGGTCAGAGATGACCTTTGTCTTTTCTGCTTAGAAGGATGTGTTTATAGTATGACTTACAAGACTCCGGAAGATGCCTTTCTTTGCTTTCTCATATGATAAATACACATTAGGAATATAGTCATTCCAGGAGACAGGGGAAATCCTTGCTTGTGTGATTCTGAAAATAATATTTATCTGCAACTCTTTGAACATCAAGTATATGAAATATGACTCATCCTCCGGTATGTTTATGAGTATAATATCTGTAGTTTAATATTCCAATGGAAACATACAAACTTCTTCTTTCCCAAAATTAGGCCAGGCTTAGACAAAACTGAATGCTAAATTATGGGCTAAATAATTACACATGTGAATTAATTAATCATCGCTTGATCCTGAGGTTTTGTGATAATTACTCCCTTGGTATATCATGATATAAATATGGCATAAAAAAACACAAAATACAGTATCTGACAGTTTTTCTATATGAAGAATTCTTTTGAAGGAAATGTTCTAAAATTAGATTCTTATAAGGTATGAGCCTTGTAACTCTTGATTTGATCCAATTCAGACTACTTGGATAACTACTGTGTGTGTGTGTGTGTGTGTGTGTGTGTGTGTGTGTGTGTGTGGTATGTTATCACTAAGGGATATTTTATTACAATATTCATTGGTTTCTTATATTCAACTTTTAAAATATTAGGAATATGGTAGGCTTGTTGAGATGCAGGTAAAAATTTAGGAAGGTGTCCCATCTATATTGTATTTTCAAAAGTATAACTTGGTAACAACTCCCCTGTGCCTCCACCCCTCAAAAAAGTGCTGAAAACCACATTTGGGAAGCAGCACAGACTTGAGAGTGAATCAGACATGAGGACCTAGCTTTACTGCTTAACCCACTACTCTGGGAGAATCTTTTATGTTTCCTTAGGAAGAGTGTTATTACTTAATTTGGATGGGAGGAAGAAGATAAATTAATTCACAGTTACAATATATGAAGTCCACGAGGTCACCTTTATTCTTAATGAAGTATCAGGTAATTAATGATTGTGTTTCCAAGAGTCTCCAAAGAATTTCACGCCTATGTTCTGTGAGAGTCTGGAATCCATAATTAGAGTTTAACTCCCTGATTTAAACAGAATTTGCAAGTGGTCACCTACATGTTAGATCTGTCTTTATTTGTTTATTTTAATAGGCTTTCGGTTTGATTTTTGGCCCCCACAAAATTGATACGTATGTGTTTTAAACAGTTACCTGTTTAAATCAGAAAACCTGGGAGAGTTCACATAAAAATCTGGCCTCACAGTCTTCTCTTTCTCGGTCAAGGACACTACAATTAAACCAGTTACTTATTTAAGAAATCTAGTTGCCATATAAGAGATATCCCTGTTCTTAACCTCTCCACATCTACCCCACCCACTTCTCCAAGTTCAGCCCGACTCAGTGGTTCTCAGCCCTCCTGGTAAAAAGATGCTGGTTCCCAGGTTACATACAGAAAAGGAAGTCGGAATTTTAAAAAGCTCCTCAAAAGATTCATCTGTGCAGTCGGGGTTTGGAGCCACTGCTCCAAACTCGTCAATTGTGTCTATGTCAAATGCCACCCTCCCTGCCCCATGCAAGTGAGACTTCTGTGTCACCAGTGGCCTGCAGTGCTCCTGAAATCACATTCTCGCTTCTATGCTGGTCCTCATTCAACCCATCCCCCTGCCCAACAGTCATAATGATTGTTTATAAATAGTAAAATATCTGGTCCATGCCTGCTTCCGCCTCTTCAGTAAAAAGAGCAATAATGAAGATCACTGATTTATGCTTTGCTGGGATGAAGTTCAGGTTTGTTGAAAAACCAAGCCACTGAGGCCATGAATTTCAGGAGCAAAAGGGGGAAAGGGCATAAAAGGTAGAGCTGAAAACACCAAGGCAGTTTTAGTCCATCCTCATATCAGGACTCTGGCCTAATCTCCCACTAGCCTGCTTGTCAAGACAGTGACCCAGATGCCAAAAGTATGGCCGACCTTTCCCACAAATTGCCACTGAACCCATGTCCTGGTCTCCCACGACCATCAGGAAGAGCAAAGGGATTGCATAATTTGTCAGTGACGCTATTATAAGATTAATTTCATGATATGGCCACCAAAGTTTATTAAATGCCACCCCTTCAGATCCACCTAGCAAAATACGATGATGTTGGTAAGGAGTTAGGGGCGGGTGTTTATTGTGGGAGGGGGTTACAGCCAGATCTTCTCTCTTAGAGCTCAGATTTCACTAATAAATTATGTAAATCCAGTTATTTATTTGAGCTGCAGTGGAGACATTTTTTTTCTCATGTGACTGCATCAGGATTTTATAGACCACTGTTTCAGTCACTGAAATCTTTCCTTTAGATTCCAAGCACTGCATGACTATAGATGTTGCACTTCCCACTGGGAGGGCAGAAGATAAGGTTTTCATCAAAAAGGACACCCTTTGAGGTATAGTGATGCCACTTTCATCAGAGTTTTAAAAGACATCAGTAAATGCAAATGGCTTTGGTGCTAAATGGAAATGTACATCCGTATCGGCACCCCATGCACACGACATAATCAACTTTTATTTCGTGCTTTTATTTCATGCTGTCTTACACATAGAACCTACTGCAGTTCACCATTTCCATAATTAAAAAGTTCAAGGAGCTGCTTTAAGAACCTGACAAAAAATGTGCATTTGACATTCAGGTAATGGAGACCAGTAAAGAGCTGATAAATGCAGTTACCTAGGTGTTGAATTAATGCCTAGGGCATGGCTACCTTTACCCTATATTATTTTCATCAGTGAAGCTAAAGTGTGTTTGGGGACCTCATTTACCCAAATAATATGCCTGTGCAGAGTTATCCTTCATTTAAGAAAACAGTTGATACTTTAAGCTGTCTCCTAAAGGTTTAATTTGGAGAAAAATGGAAAACGAAATACACAGAGAGAAGCGCGCGCGCGCGCACACACACACACACACACACACACACACACACACACACAGAATATCCCAAGAGACACTGGACAGGACCCTGCTTACTGACGAGACGTCCGTGCATTTCTTTTTGGGATCAAGGTGGATTGGTCTTATATGGAATTCTTTGTGGTGAATAGAGCTTTAATAAGGCCACAGATTCTTTTCATGCCGTTTTAGGAATTTCTTTGAAAGGATTCAGGCAGTGACACCCCTTGTGTTTTAGAGTTTTACATTAGTACAGGCAAAGCTTTTCAAATAATATAAAGCCATTTTTCTAAATTCCTTATATCTCCGAGTCTCTGGGTTCTGGACAGAAGATTAAAATCTCTATAAAATCTACCATATTGCGACCACATGAACCAGCTATTGAGAAAGAAATTAATAGCCATGGAAATGAATCTTGAGTTAAGCTTCCTTCACTTTGCATTTTCTACTACTTTGTTCATGTGTTATTAGGTCTCTTTAATCATAGAACTCCCTAAAACTGACATACTGTTGATTCAGATTAATTTTAAAAATCTAATATAAAAGGTAAATATATACTATGTTTGTTAAAGGGCAAACACACAATGGATGCTTGTGAATACTGAGTTCATTCTGAATATTCATATTATCTTATGTTAACACATCAAATGGCTCCAAAAATATACATGTTTCTCACAGATATTTACTACTGCATCAGACTTTTTCTTATTGCAGTCATTCCTCTTGCATCCCAGTTTAACTCATTTTGGGGGGATTCCCTTTTTTTTAAACTTCACTTCTAGTTAGTAAACATACAGTGCAATATTGGTTTCAGAAGTAGAATTCAGTGATTCATCACTTACATACACAACACCCACTGCTCATCACAAGTGCCCTCCTTAGTACCCATTGCCCATCTAGCTCAGCACCCACCGTCCTCCCTCCATCAACCCATAGTTTGTTCTCTATCATTAAGGGTCTCTTATGGTTTGTTTCCCTCTCTTCTCTTTTTCACCCCCTTCCCATATGGTCATCTGTTTTGTTTCTTAAATTCCAGATATGAGAGAAATCGTGGTATCATATGGTATTTGTCTTTCTCTGATTGACTTACTTAGCCTAACATAATACATTCTAGCTCCATCCATGTCTTTGCAAATGGCAAGATTTCATTCTTTTTGATGGCTGAGTAATATTCCATTGTGTACATATACCACATCTTCTTTATCCATTTATCAGTCAGTGGACATTTGGGCTCTCTCCAGTTTGGCTGTTGTTGATAATGCTGCAATAAATATTGGTGTGCATGTTCCCTTTTGAATCTTTATTTTTGTGTCCTTTGGGTAAATACCTAATATTGCAATTTCTAGATCATAGGATAGTTCTGTTTGTGGTTTCTTGAGGAACCTTCATACTGTTCTGCATAGTGGCTGTACCAGTTTGTATTTCCAACAGTGCAAGAGGGTTCCCCTTTCTCGACATCCTCGACAATGCCTGTTGTTTCTTGTGTTGTTATTTTTATCCATTCTGACAGGTGTAAAGTGGTATCTCATCATGGCTTTGATTTGTATTTCCCTGATGATGAGTGATACTGAGTAACTTTTCAGGTGTCTCTCAGCATCTTACTGTCTTCTTTAGAAAAGTGTCTATTCGTGTCTTCTGCCCATTTCTTAACTAGGTCATTTGATTTTTGGGTATTGAGTTTGATAAGTTCTTAATAGGTTTTGGATATTAACCTTTTATCAGATATGTCATTTGCAATTATCTTCTACTCCATTGGTTGCCTTTTAGTTTTGTTGATTGTTTCCTTCACTGTGCGGTTGTTTATCTTGATGAATCCCAATAGTTCATTTTTGTTTTTGTTTCCCTTGCCTTTGGTGACATGTCTAGTAAGACATTGCTGTGGCAGAGGTCAAAGAGGTTGCTGCCTCTGTTTTCCTCTAGGGTTTTG